GACTCTCCGCCATGGCTGGCAGCTCCAAGCAGCCCGCCGACATCACCATCATTGGCGGCGGCATCATCGGCTGCTGCACGGCCTACTTCCTCACCCGCCACCCGTCCTACTCGCCAGACACACACCGCATCACCCTGCTCGAGGCCGCCTCGACCAGCTCAGGCGGCCGCACCGACGACAGCATCCACGACCCGGCCACCCTTGCCGACCCGGCAACGGCCTCCAAGAAGAATCCCGCGCACGATGGCATTGCTGGCGCTGCCAGTGGCAAGGCTGGCGGCCTGCTGGCCTTGTGGGCCTTTCCTTCCAATCTTGTGCCGCTCAGCTTCCAGCTGCACGACGAGCTGGCCCAGCAGCATGACGGCGAAAGGCGCTGGGGCTATCGTCGCTGCTATGCAAGCCAGGTCGAGTGCCAGGCGCGCGTACCTGGTGGACTGTCTGCAAACGACAAATCGACCGTCCAGCAGACTGGTCGAGATGCCGTAGACGGCAACCACCTGACAAAGGGCCTGCACAAGGACCACCGCAGCAAAATCAGGGCGCTCCAGAGCCTCGGTGCACCAGAGGATTTAGACTGGCTCGACACCGACAAGGCCCTCGTCGCCTACGAAGGCATGGGAACGCCAAAGGACACAGCACAGGTCCACCCTGAGCTGTTCACCCGCAGCATGGCCCAGCTCGCCCAAGAAAGCGGCGTCAAGATCATCACAGGCGCCCGCGTCACGGCCATCAACAAGGTTGCAGACGGCAGCCAGGTCGAGAGCGTGACCTACATCAACACCAAGGACGGCCAAGAGACTTTGCTACCGACAACACACTGCGTCGTGGCTGCTGGGCCTTGGACGTCCCGTCTACTCCCGACAGTCCCCGTGACCGCTTCACGAGCGCACAGCGTTGTTGTCAAGTCGCCCCAGCCCATCTCTGCTTACGCACTGTTCACCTCCATCGCACTCCCTCCAGGTTTCCCGGCTCCGACACCTGAACATGCCAAGGGCACACCGGCAGCGCTGAAGCCCATCAAGAGAACACAGGTGGTCGAGCCCGAGATTTACGCAAGACCAGATGGAACAGCATATGCCTGCGGACCGACAGACCAAACGGTGCCGTTACCGCTAACCTCAGCCGAGGTCGAGGTAGATCGCACCCGATGCGACGACATTATCACGCAGATTGGCGCCATTAGTGACGAGTTGGGTAAAGACGGCGAGGTCCTTGCCAGGCAAGCTTGCTACCTGCCGCAGGGAGGGCCGTTTATTGGCGAGTCTCGCAAGACCAAGGGACTCCTCGTGGCTGCTGGCCATACCTGCTGGGGTATACAGAATGGACCTGGCACAGGAAAGCTGCTGAGTGAGATTATAATAGAGGGCGAGGCTAAGAGTGCTAGGTTGGGAGGATGCGATGCCTCGAGGTATTTTTAGTGGGGGCCAGGGAATATTTCTGTCTTTTTGAATCGGACTCGATGACAGGACTCTGACCTACGACTTCATCACTCCATCTATTACTCTCTACACAAACTCCCCACCCACGTGTCTTCTACACAAAAAACTCCCCTTCCCACCTAATATCCCGACTACTCGCGCCCACAAAAAACCTGTACCTGCCCTCTTGAACAACCCAACCCTGCGTCACTACATCCCAAATACTCAAATCCCTCTTCGTCAAAAGAAAGGTTACCAGCACTTCTTGGCCCGGGTCGAGCATGACTTTTTCAAACCCGCGGAGTTGCTTTTCCGGGCTGTTGGGGATCCCGATGTAGAGCTGGGCAACTTCCTCTGCGGGGATAGTGGTGCTGGTGTTGGCCCCTGTGTTTGTGATTTGGACGGTGAGAGTTACGATGGGGTCCCAGAGAGAGGTGAGAGGCGTTGAGGCGTGTTTGGTCGTGGTGGTGGAGATGGGTTTTTGTCGTTGGCTTTGCTCATCTTGTCGTGGCTGTTGCTGTTGATTTTCTTCCTGCTGCGCGTCACCAACAACCAGCGTATCCATGCCAACCACAACGACATGACTGTACTCAAACGTAGTATAACTCAATCCAAACCCAAACTCGAACCGTGGCTCAATCCCATGCGCATCAAAATGCCGATAATCAATATACACCCCTTCAGTATACTCACACTGCGGAAACCGATCCTCCCTCGATGTGGGCGTGCAAGGCTGGTACAACCGACCCCCTACCCCATAATCACTCTCATTCTTCGCCAGAGTATACGGCAATTTCCCCGATGGGCTCACCTCGCCGTAGAGAATCCGCACGAGCGCCTCACCAATGTCTTGGCCGGGGAGGTGCGCGAGGAGCACGGCTGTGATGTTTGGGTGTTCGATCCACTGGTCGACGAGGCGAATCCCCGCGCTGTGCACGACGACGATTGTGTTGGCGCAGCGTGAGGCGACATGGACGATGAGACCGTCGCTGTAGTCGTCATGCAGGCCGTCGCGGTCCCAACCTTCGGTTGCCATGGCGTTGATGAAGACGAGGCAGGCGGTAGACATTGGGTTTACGGACGGTTGACCCGAGTGGAAGTCCCAGTTCAGGTATGTCTTGTCCTTTTTGGCGCGCGTTGTCAAGGCGTTGAAGGGCTGGCAGGCGTGAAGGTGAGAGTCAGCAGATGGCTCGAACCTCGAAGATGAAGGGCCATATAGGCGAGAATTCCATTGATAGAATGACGAGGAAAACTCACAGCGTCAATGTACGAAGGACCATTGGAGCCACTGCGGCCTCCAGCGAATATGACACCGCCGGACGCTATCTGCGAGAAATGCGCCTCGTACCCGAGATTCCCATCGGCCATTTCTGGCTGTGACTCATAGCCCAGCTCAAAGAGAGCGTCGATGTTTTTACTGGATGGTGCTTGCGCGTCATACCCAAAGACCGAGAGCATCTTGGGTTTACGCAAAGGAAGAGAGCTGTTGACGTTTTTGACAAGGACGTGGCCTGCAATGGCACCTTGGAGCAGCACAGGATCTGCTTCTGGAATACGAGCGTCGACCAGAGGATGAGGCACGTTGAGTTTGTGGATGCCAACTCCAGGTTTGGGGAAATCTGGCTTGTCTTGGCCAACGAGATACCACGCGGCGAGGATCCTGGTTGCTCTTGTCAGCGTACTGAGCGACTCTCGTTTGAAGTCAAGGAGGACCAACGCACCGAGTTGCCATATCTGTCACTCTCGCTTCTGGCACTGTTCCATTGCCGACAGCTTCAGCAAGACTCGATCCCCAAAAGCTGCCATTTGGCATGGCCATATCCATGCCAGCCAATGCGCCTGCCATGCCGCCATACTGCGCGTTCCAGTCCGAGATGACAAAGCCCTCGAACTCAAGCTCCGTCTTCAAAATGCCATTGAGCAGCTTGCTGTTCTGACATCCGTACGAATTGTTGACGCGGTTGTAGGAGCACATGATGCTGGCGGCACCGGCCTTGACACCGTCCATAAAGGGCCAGAGATAGAGCTCGTGCAGTGTCCGATCATCAATGTTGGACGAAGCAGCTTCGGTGCCGTTGTAGGGTCTTCGCCAGGCTTCTTGCTCGTTGGCGATCAGGTGCTATTCATGATATGTCAATGTTTCTGCCAATGCCGGAGAATGACAGCTGCATTTGTTTCCGAAGTCAAAAAGGTGGGACGTCGCCATACCTTGAGGTTGGCAATAACGCCCGCGTCTTGCATGCCTCTGATTGTTTCCGCAGTCATGACTCCAGACAGGTACGGATCAACCGCAAAGCCCTCCCAATTGCGTCCGCCAAGAGCAGTTCTCCCCAACGGACCAGCAACTGGGCCCAATGCAATGTTTGCTGGATTTGCAAAGCCCCATATCAAGTCAGCCATTGATGCGATCGACCTCGTCGTCATAATATCCTGGTTGACAACCCATCGACTCACCTCCTTTGATTCTGTGCTCATTGCCCATATAGTAACCCCTCTGATACGTCAAATTGCGGTCCCAGCTCGCGCCTACATGGATTCCGCTTGGGTATGCATTTGTCAAATCCACGCCGCGCACCCCGTTGCCTGCGTCCTGAAGACACAGGGCCGGCCAGCTCAGTCGCGGGACGCTACCCGTGCTACCATGGCATGCGTTCTCTGGGTTCTTGAAGCCTCCCGTGATGTTGATCTTTTCTTCAAGCGTCATTTGCGCCACAAAGTCTCTCGCGGCATGGTAGGCTGGTGCCCAGATACCGGTGCCTTTGCCTTGAGCTAGATTAGCCGCCGACACCAGACACGCATTAGTATCAATATCAGCCAACCATCTTCATAGACATATACATAAGGTATTGGCAATTGGAGCATCCAAGGGGCAGTGCTATACTTACGAGAGGGATACACAGGCGGTGATTGTCCGTAAAAGTCGGCGTCAGAGAGGGCATCGGTGCCAAGCAGCTGCAGACAAAACCCTACTAATGCCGACGTTCTAAGCTTCATGTTGAGGGGGGGAAAAGAAGAAAAAAATGTGTGCGTGTCACTCAGTATAAGGCAACCGAGAAGCCCGTACTCAGCGACGAGTATCTGTCGCACTTCAATGAATCAAGTATCCTTCGTCACATTCGACTTTTGGGACAGAGCTTCTGTTTAGCGGCAGACTTTGTACAGAAAAAACATCTCGAGGCGGTCTCCTCACAAAATGACAGAAAGATCCTCACAATGACATGCCTACTTTGGGCGACACAAGTTGCACAAGTGTCGATGCTTTTGACGGCCGCTTGTTGTGATTGGGTTTACCACGTCTGAGAAACGTCGGTGATATGCGTCCCTCAGGGGGTTACGAGCAAGGAAACGGCCAGAGTCCCTAACCCTGAGGCCCTCAAAACGCAAAGAAGCGAAAAGTTGCTTGTTGCAGAAGACGAAGAATTGATTGAACGGATACGTATCGCTAATAACCAAACCCTTTCAGCGATAAATCAGCCCAACGCAGACAACATGCATCGACAAGACCCTACGCATGGCCTTGTCCTACCAAACATGATATATAATTTATTGTTTCGGCCGACGCCACAACACCCAAGCAATAATCCCTTGATAGCTCAGTTGGAAGAGCGCTGGACTGTAATTGTATAACTGCCCATCCATAGGTCGCTGGTTCGATCCCGGCTCGAGGGACATACGCCTCTTCTTTTGTCTCTTGGGCTCAGTTTTTTTTTCTCCCTTCTTTCCTTTTGATTCTCCTCTCATCTTTTTGGCTCATGACCTGCAGTCCTCATGCACATTATCATCATTCCTATGCATCAATTATCTATTCGCAATCTTTTTGTAAATGACATCAATCGACGCACATCGTGTGTGTCCTTGACCTCAATTAATTTCGCCCTCCTCTTGCGCACTTTGACTGCCGTACCTAGCAAGCACTGCAACAGCATACAAAGAAAGCAGCCCATAAGGTCATCGGGATGGAACAAGGAGCGATGTGCCGAAGAACCTTCAGTGGATAGAAGTTGCCAGAGGAAGTTTATGTTCGAGCTTATCTCGGCAACGAGAATGTTGACCGTGCTGTTCGCTTCCAGTATCATCTCTTGACTTTATACAATGTATAGGAGTAACTGGGTCGTCGCACTAGCTTTTGAGTATTCCAGTTCACGCAGCAAGGCATCGTCGTGGTTCAATACTAAATAGAGACAGTCAGATCGTTGAAAGTCCTACGTACTCCAACATCCAAGAGCTAAAATTGGTTTATGCTTCGTCCGCGAAAGACTACCTGGCCAACAAGTAGCCTATCTTGATGATTTGCACTCAATCATTATAAACTTCGACAACTTCATATTCATAAAATGTCATTTCATGAAGTCAAATGGATGCAGCTGGCTGGCTAGGAGGTAAAGCAGACTCAGAATCGATGCGCATTCATCATCTAGCCTAAAAGGCAACAAGTTGATACGAATATACCCGCCACGAAAGTCTGACGTTGATTATCACCATTTCCTCGAATTCTCCGACACACGCGGTGCACATGAAAAATTGAGATCAAGATTGATTTGCTCTAGCTAAAGGAAATGTACATACAGCACGATTATTGATATAATGTACAGCCAGCCACGCCAAATCACTAAAATAGTAGACTCTGACTGTCCTCGCACGTGAATATTATCTCTTCAGTGTTGGGCCGACACACATTAAACTTGAGAAAAGACACCAGAGAAGTTGGAGAATATAATAAAGCCAAATGCACCCCTCATGAAATGACTTCTAAAACCCTCCACATGAGCGAAAACCATCTAAAGTGTCTTCGTCGGAAAAAAAGAATGAAGACATCATGGTGGCCCCTATGCCATCAAAAATATGTACACCAGTACATAAAGCGCTGCAACACAATCGGGAGATCAAGAAACGACATGGAGAAGTTCAGGCACATCAAGGTCGCGGCTGTGCTTGGAGGTCATGTCTCCAAGTTTGGAGCGGCAAAGTGCCGACTTACAAGTGGAATCCGACCAAGTCAGAGACAAGTCGTCGGCCCACCAGTCTTGTGCCTTGCCGTCAGCTGTGGCGGTGAGAAGAAGTGAAGTGAGATTCTCGAGACCGGTAGCTTCATCGCCGTCGAGGAACGCCAATATGCAGTCTTTCTGGGAAGAACAAGCCGGCACATGGAATGAATGTGAGGCCACGGTAACTTCAGTCTGCATCTCACTGTCCCAATTAAGACCTGTCACATTGAATTCGCAGTCTGCAGAGCTGGATGCACAACCAACACGAAAACCGGAAAAGTCAAAGCGGAAGCAGGGATTGGTCTGAAGGGGGCCGACACCAATCTTTGCAACTGATGAGGCAACTTCTTTTGCTGATGAGAATCCAATCAGGAAGGCTCCAGATGTTGGCGCGTATCGGGAAGCTGAAGCTGGAAGGACGCTGAACCCATCAGACCAGGTAAATCGCTTTTTGGAACTGGAGTTGGAAGTTTCCAAGGTGCTAATCGATTGTGATTGCGGCACCTGGTCTTTCAGAGGAGCTTCGCGACTCACAGACTGACGAAGCAATTAGCTGGTGCACAGTCACCGAACGGCATGAGAATAATTCTGGGATTGCTTACATTGAGCATCACGTCTCTTCCGTCTGTAGGTTCGCCGCATGTGACGATTGTTGTAGCCTGTGGTGATCCAGCTCGTACTTTGATGCCAGGAGAAGACTTCGTTCTGATTGTGGTAGAGGTTACAAGGGTGGTTGGTCCAGACGATGGCGTGGACTGAGGTAGGCCCAGAGCAGTCTGTGATTGATCCAGACCGCCTTGGCCCGGTCCGACTTGTGATTGGAGTTGGCCACCCTGAGCGCCACCTTGACCTGCTTCTTGAGATTGACTCTGTCCACCCTGGGGCTGGCCTTGACCACCTTGCGATCGGGATTGGCTTCCCTGAGATCGGGACTGACCACCTTGAGACTGACCTTGGCCGCCTTGAGATTGAGGTTGAGCCCCTTGAGATCGGGACTGTCCACCCTGAGACTGACCTTGGCCGCCTTGAGATTGAGGTTGAGCCCCTTGAGATCGAGATTGCCCGCCCTGGGATTGAGGCTGACCACCTTGGGATGGTCCTTGTCCGCCTTGAGACTGACCTTGGCCGCCTTGTGATGGGCCTGAGGCTAAAATTAGCTTGATCATACTCTGGGGAAAATGAACACTTGAACAGGTTTACTTACCCTGAATAGACTGCGTCGGCGCGCTCTGACCAATTGTCGTGGTTTCTCCTTGACCTTGAGATCCATGCCCGCCTTGTCCGCCTTGTCCGCCTTGACTTGGTCTGGCAGAGGACGGACTAGGCTGAACTGCTAATGTTCCATTTGCTGCTGGAGTGTAAGTGCTGTTAAGAGGTGGGGTCTGACCAGGCACAGCTGGCGATGTTCCATTGGGAGCCAAGCTTGAAAGTGTACCGTTGAGATCGGCAGACTGGGTGGGACCAGGCATGATTGTTCGGTTTGTGCCTGGAGTAATAGGAATAGTGCTGTTAAAAGGTGCAGACTGGCCGGAAACACCACCAGCAGTCTGGTTTGTTGGTGGAACAGAAATCGTCCCATTTGGAGGAGCCGTTGGGCCAGCTGGTATATCCGGGTCAGTCAAGAGCAGCAAGACACGATTGGTTACAATAGTATAGAGAGTAGTATTGGTTGGCGCAGGAAAACCAAAGTGCCTGTGTGTGGATGACATACCATTTCCAGATATGGGGCCACGAGTAGAGGTGGGAACCGTGCTATTGACAGACGCAGTAGGAGGTGCACCGCTTGTAGACTGGCCATTGCCCGGAGATGGGGCGATCAGGGTCCCATTAGAAATCGACGTGCTGTTGGTAGGGGCAGGGAATGGAGCCAAGGAAGAGTTTGTCGGAAGGAGGACACTGGCTATTGGCAAGGACGTCTCATTTACTGATGAAGACAACACTGAAAGTGTGGAGTTTGATGGAACAACAAGGCTTGTAGATGTCGATGAGCCTGGAGCAGCATTTACAGTCCCAGGAGGAAGGAATGGAGAGCCAGTCTCGTTGGCCGAGACCACAGGCGGGATAGGTGTGGCTGAGCCGGAAACCGGAGCGACGGTAGTGAAAGAGCTGACAGGAACAAAAACAGTAGTCACCTCTGCAGTGCCATTGGCAAGAACCGTCTCGATGCTGGCTGTCAGTACAATCGAAGTTTCCGGCGGTGAGGGCAAGAAAGAGCCATTGGTAGGCTGAAGAGAAGACACCAGAGTTGTGATTCCTGTTGGGACAAAGGCACTTGTGATCATCGCACTACCATTGTTGGAGACAGTGGCATTGAGTGGCGAAAGCGAAGCAGACGGTAACACACCAGTGCCAGGGATAACGGGCACTGGTGGTGTAATTGTGGTCAAGTTTGGCGTTGTCGTATTGGGAAATGGTGCAGACACGGCTAATCAACACGTGAGTCGCCTGAAAGATCTTATCAGAGACAATAGAAGAGAACTGAAACGAACCTGTGCCAGTCACAACAATTGTCTGGATCGCTGTAGCCGTGGACACTGTAATGAACGAGGTTCCAACACCCGCCACAGGAGTGTATATGAAATCGGTGCTCATTGTCATCGTAGTCAAAGCAGCGCCATTCGGAGCAGTGACTGTGTATGTCATTACAACCTCTGATGTAGTTGGACCTGGCGGTGGAGAGGGAATCTCGGCAATACCAGAACTGATGGTTGTGGTCTCTGTCACTGTGGCTGGTAGAGGAACAGGAGAATTATAGGTGGTCGGAGCCACGGCGGTGACTGTAACAACGGTGGGTGAAACACCGTCTGAACCAGGCAAAGAGATTGTGAAGACATTGGTGGTCATTCCCACAGAAGTTGGCAAAGGAGCAGACCCAGTCTCGCCTGGCAATGAGTTTGTCATGCTGGTCGTGCTCATTTCACCAACAGAAGAGAGGGATGGGGGAGCGTAGGTTATGAACAACAAAGATGAGCTGGAGCTTGGGCTGCCGGGTGCGGGAACAGAGACCACAGGCGTACTCGCAACAGTTGTGTCAATTGTCAACGTGAAACTGGCAGTGCTGGTCGTGGAAGGAGTCCCCACACCAGGCAGCGTGAGCGTATCAGTAGGCGAAGTGGTTTCCGCAGCTATAGGGCTGGCCACGGCATTTAGGGTTTCAATGACAGTATAGGTGCTCGTCTCAACCACTTGTGGTGTGTATCCAGACGTGATAGTCGTGGTGAGTGTGAAGGTAGAGACTACGCCAGAAGCAGTAGAAGAAGTCAAAGAAGAGGTCTGGGGAGCAGGAATCGAAGGAGATGAAATGGCACCGAAAGGAACAGTGACTAGGTCCGCGTAAAAAAGTTGGAAAAAAAAGTCAGCACGGCCTCATTGAAATACAGCCCTGAAAGATTGGAGAGGATGACCTGCTGTGGCAAAGTCGACAAATTAACATACCAGTGGAGACGGAAACGACAGGAGTGCTCTCAGACGACGAAGAGCTGGGCAGAGGCTGTTCAGAGTAAGAGAGAACCCCACCTGTAGCAACCAGAGCAGAAGGTGTGATAGTCTCCACGGGAAGACTATCAGTACTGCTGGTCAAACTCCATGGGCCGGCTCCAACGGTGCTGCTGATTGACGCCTCAGTTGCACCAACTGATATGTAGACAGTCTCGGCGGTGCAAACCGAGCATTCTGCATTGACTT